AATTTGGGTTGGGAGTTATAAAGGTGATTAAGATTATTAATCAACCAACCTTGATTAACCATGGTTAAACCAATACTAACCATGATTAAGAAAAATAACATTTTACCAGGGCTGTAAATTATTTGAGACTTAATCATAGTCCACTAATTTCGTTTTTATTTTTCATGATTTAGGTTGCAAATATCCAAAAATTAGATGTGGAAAATATGATACTATACTATAGTTTAGTTTAGTTTTTTTTTTAATGTGCTTAGACAAATGGTGTTTGGTGTACACACTATGCAAACGCAACCAATGTTTAATAATGTAATGGGAGGTCTAAAATGTTTTCGTTCTAAAACAAAGTGTTCTATGAGAAAAGAAAAAAATGAATTTACGATGATTTAATTGGCAAGAGATATTAGAAAGATTTATTTTATTTAATTAAGTGAAGTAACTCTGCCAACAATCAATTGTCAAGGAGTGCCAATTGTAGGACAAATTGTTTTTTTGGTCAATAAACTTTTATTTTAGTTTCGTTTTGGTCAAAGAACTTTTTTGTTTTTTGCAAAACAAGCAATGAACTTTGATTTTTTTGCAAAATAAACAAAAGTTAAGCAAAATACAAGTTGTAATTTGATTTTGCAAAACAAGCAAAATGCCTAATTTTTGTTTATTTTGCCAAAAAAAAAGTTCATTGACCAAAGTGAAAATAAAGTGAAAGTTCACTGACCAAAAAACCTATTTTTTCGCCAATTGTATGACCTTTTCTCAAAATAAAAGAGATGCATTAACGTGAACAAAAAAAAAATTCCACATACGTTAACTAATTACTTTTGCAACCATTATAGTAGTTTATGGACAATATAAATTTTATATTTGTAGTCGATAATAAATTTTTTTTTATTTGTGTTGAAAATATATATATATTTTTTCTTAAATAATCAACTACACCCTTAGATAGATAGATAATAAGGTTCCTCAGTGGCTCAGTTTCCTGAGTAGTACAGAATAAAAGATCATGGTTAAGTTGGCTACGAAGCCATATAGAAATAGAAAAAAAGAAGGTGGCAACCAGAGAGCTCAAGTCCGTGTTTGTAAGGCAAGGAGGTGAGTTGCCCAGTTACCCGTCCTAGAAGTCTAGAACAATGTTTAAAACTCAAAGCATCGAAGTTACATAAAAAAGATAAAATATTATTTTTGTATACTTCTACAAAAATAGTTTGGGCTTTTGTAAAAAAATAATGTAAATACAAGTATTATTGACGTATATCTTCTTACTTGGGCATTTGGTGAATGCTGGCGGGTAGGCCTACCATGATTCCATGAGGCCCATGTTTTCACTTTATTGGATATCATTAAGCAATATGAGGCCCATGTAAAATCAATTACCTAGCCCAAATTCATATAACGCCAGCCCAACATTCCAAAAACGGCCCACGTTCATACTCTTAAATCGTGCTGTTTGGCTAGACATCGAGTTCAGTTCAGAAGCAGACTCCAAGTCCCAAGGCAATAGCTACTGGCTAGCAAACTTCAATGGAGTCACGTACGTAAGCAGAGCTCTCTCTCTCTTGCTTGTTTGCTTGCTTTTTATATGTTTGATTGTTTCTCTGAACTTCTAATCAGATAATCGGAGAGCACCAGAGGAAGGACGCGCAATGGTATGCATTGCATTCTCTTCCCATTCTCTGTGAATTTTGAAATAGTTGAAAACCTACCCAATGAAAAATTTCAGCTTTATTTCGCTCTAAAATTGTAATGGGGTTTCTCTAATGTCCTTCAATTTTCTTACTTTGATTCCGTTTTAAGGATTTTATAGTTTCGAGTTAGGGTTCTTCTCAATTCACGTTGTGCTCAAGATGCGAACTTTTGTAGTGTTCACTTATTTGTTACCATTAATTAGAGTTGGGGTTTACTTTCATAATAATTGAAACTGTCAATATATATAATAAATTTGATAAAACATGTCATATTTTTCCATTCGTGTAATGATACTGTTTGTGTTATCTGTATACTCATATTATTCATTTATGCAACTAAGTTGTATTTCTATATAATATATTAGGCTGCAAGGGAAGAAAATTCCTTTACTCTAAAGCTAACTTTCAGTATGTGGCGTATTTTTTAGACCCGACAATAATGAAATTGATCACTGTTTGAGAGATTTTGATGATACGTGTTGATGTCGCAGTACAACATAGTTGTCATAATTTCTATGCTTGTTTTGGAAGAGCCCAATATATATCCAAAATATCATTAAATAAAACCACAAGTAGTAATAATTGTGTCAGAATATTTAGTTTTAGAGGGGGATTCTCAGTTGTAAGCTTCTTACTAGTAGTAGGTTAGTACACACCAGTAGATAAAAGTGCATTTTGATTAGTCCTGCCCTATAGGCTATACCTTGTGTTTTTATGAAAGCAAAAGTTCATCAACGTAACTGGTCCTTTGAAACTTCTGCAATGCTCAGTATTTGGCAATGGGTGTGGCCTGTGTATGTGAGGGAGGAGGGAGCGATTTTGCCAAGTTGATCCGTATGTACATATTTTAAGTGCTTTCTTCTGATCAATATGACGTGCTACAATGCAGTACTTCCATAATACCACCATGCAAAATCTTAGACCTCTCATTTTAATTTTTTTGTTTTTGGTTGGTAAGGTTCCAAGTTCAACTCCACGTGCTCAATGGCACAAATCTCGTTCATCAACCTCGTCAATTAGTATGTACTCTGTGCAGTGTGGCAAATGTTTTAAGTGGAGGTTAATTTCGACACAAGAAGAGTACGAGGAAATCAGGAAAAATCTTAGAGATAATCCATGGTTCTGTAACAAGAAATCCAATGTCTCATGTGAAGACCCTGCTGATATTGAGTATGATAACACTCGAACTTGGGTTATTGATAAGCCCAATCTCCCAAAGACCCCAGATGGATTCAAGAAGAAATTGGTGGTTAGAAGTGATTTCTCCAAATGTGATGCCTATTATCTTATGCCAACAGGACAGAAGGTGAGGACCCTAAACGAAGTAGAGCAGTTTCTAGCAGCCAATCCGAAGTACAGATCAGTGGTGAATATTTCAGATTTCAATTTTACAAGCCCAAAGATAATGGAGGACACTATTCCTGAAGATATAGAAGGTAGGGCTTCTTCTAGCAAAAAGATCAGGAACATGAAAGATTTGTGATGGTCGTGAATCAAAGAGTTGTCTCTTCTTGCTGGAACTTTTGTCCATTATCCAATGTTTGAGCTTCTTGTCAGGAACTGGAGGTCTGAAAAATATGTATAAAGAAATTTGCTAGTAGTTAAGTAGTAGAAGCGATGTAGTCCTTTTATTGCAAGTACATGAATGGTCAGCTTCCTTTGGTTCGGCTTTCTGTTTCTCTGTTTCTCAGGCATCCTTACATTTTTTTTTTAACAATGCAGCTGCATGCCATCTTCTCTACATATAGTGCAGGCCCTGAAGTAGTCACATTCATTGGCATTTGGCCAGTTATATAACTTTTGGTTTCAATTTCAAAAGTAAAAATAAAAACTTTTGGATTTTGGAGGTTTGTTTCTTTCTATTACAATATTTCCATGACAGTATTTATTTATTATTTTTTTACACAGGGGCCACGCGAACGCGTACCCCATCAGCAACAAATTATGATGTAGACTATCCCACTTGGAGATATCTTAGGCGGGTGACCCTCCTAAGTGGAATGCGCCATTATCTCAGAATGGGTTGGAAACTTGGAATGATCCTCAATAGTTCAAAACCAATTGAAATGCATGAGATGCTTTGGTCTTGTGGCAACTTTCTTCTTGGATGTAGGTGGTTGCTGTAGAAAAATAAAAAAAATGTGATGTGACAACTTTCTACCGATTTTATGCACTTATGCCTGGACTTCCAGAGTTATTAAAATAGGTCTAATGAGGTTATGCCAAAGTTCCTCAGAATCAAACATCAACTGTCAATTGGTATTTCATTCGGAACATAGATACACTATAGCTCTAGATGCTTTGAAATAAAAGACAGTTTCTCCTCTTGCTTAGAAGAAGCGTTTCAGAGGATGAAGGAAAGGTTTATTATTAGTATTTAAATCGAATTCAAACAAGTTTGAACATCTATTTGTTGAAATGGGAATGCACTGATTTTTATTGAAATGGTTTGTGCATGTGAACATTTGCTAGTACAATGTATTGAGGACTATTCCACCATCTATACAAACCGAGAAACTTAAAAGAAGCATTTACAGATTGACATGGTTTTCAATGTATTGAACCTAAGAATTGGTATTCCTCAGACTTATACATCAACTGCCGATAATTTATAAATGGGAAGCCACGGAATCTGAAGCCTTTCCTCATAATAATCATCAAGCCAATCTACAAATATGAACATGAATCTTGTATCCATGCAATGGAAGGTTTCTTCAAAATATCAGGACGGGCACATACCATAGTGTTGTTGGAGGTGGCATACTGTGTCTCTGACACTTTGCACAAGTGAGTGGTGTCTGGGACTGATGAACTTGTTTACGGGGAGAATTTCCTCCAAGAATCTGAACAAACACAATCTCTGGCCATTGCCCATGCATATTGGGTCTTTGCATTTTATGAATCATTCCTTCACATGATATTGATTTTACAGACTTTGTCAAACTCAGACACCACACACTCCAACTCCCAAGAATGTAAAATCAAACTCAGACACCAAGTCACCAATTGGTAAATTGGTCTAACCGTTTGGTCCCAACTCCAACTGCCCTTCTTACTCCGGGATATATAGAGCACAAACTGAATGAGTGTTCCCTAACTCAGGCCTCCCCATAGGTTTCCAATAAAACCTTCCTTTGTAAGTGGATGTCTCGGTGTTGAGAATGGTGAAGGTGCTGGGTGCAAAACTGGAGATAAGTCATGTCAATCTAGTCAGGTTTGGTATACTCAAGGAGCATATGTGGTGACCTGTAAATCTTCACCAGGGTCCAATAAAGGGCTTCTTCAACTTCAAGCTCTCCCTCCGCTCTTGCAGCATATATGTCCTCACATATGGCTATCAACCTACAATAAACATAACTCAAATTATTTTTCATATAGAGTTGGAAGATATCAAATCTATTTATTCAGTCTGTATAATCTTGCTAACACGAACAATGGGGAGTTAACTATATATTTTACAGTAGAACCTCTTTAAATTAATACTCCATTGTTAATAATCTCTAAGTTAATGAAATTTTCTGGTCCAATTTGTGATGTACAAGCTAATCAATACTCGGTAAGTTAATAAAACATAATAAAATTGCAAAGGTTGCAAAGGTCCCACAGCTATTAATTCAAAGAGGTTTTCCTGTATTTAGCTTCTGCTACCTGTCACAAGAAGGAAGATTCTCAAATGGAATTCTCATTCTTAGATCAGAACATTGGAGTCTGATGAAGCGACCGACCGCGAGCACAAAGGTTATGTAGAGACCCCAGATACTGAACTTACTTAGAGTTTCACCAAGTATACCCTCTGAAAAAGAATGAGAGGAACACAGTGAGAATTCAGAAGAAAATGAGTCAAAACTCATTTCTATCAGCATATTCAGAAAGCTGTGATGTTGTGAACTTGTGATCTCATAGACTCACGTGGAGTTTCCTCAGATACAACAATGGCCATAGGTCCTGTCAGACCAACACATCCACCTACATCTGAGGCATTGATATCATTGAAGGACCACCATTGCGTAGTTCCACGATTCAACGTCAGATCCCCACTAACAGCATCCACCTGCATGAGACAAAAAATTTGTATCCTTTGTCATTGACAAATATTAAACAAGCTTACAGGGATGGATACTATTGTCAAAGAGTTACTAAAGGGAAGAGAAATAGTTATTGTCGCATACCGTCTGCTCAAGAAGACGAAAATCACCAGACCCTGTGACCCGGAAGTATCTCGGGTAAAAATCATATATTCTAAAACTATTAGCGGTACCATTGAAAACCGCCTGAACCTCCGATGTGTTTGGAGAGTTTGCCATAATTTCATATTTTACAACTTCCTTCCCTTTGGGACGATCCCTGGTCAATACCCATGAAAAGGTAATAATCATGTCCACCGTTATGGACTGGACAAATCTAGCCAGGATGACAGGAGGGACAAGCCACAAAGTGCTTGCATCAGGTTGGCAGCAGATCAACTGTATATCATTCACATTGTAATCATCAAGATAACGTTCAGGATCCATATTAGCATTTCCTTGGAGGTGATCCCAAGGTAAGCTTTCACACAGTGTGGTCTGGTACATAGTCAGCCTACCACCTGCAGTCTTAATATCAATCTGAACGCTTGCGTCTTTGATAGGATTTGCAATATTTGTTGGGTTACCACTGCTATACATCTGCGAGAAGGAAAAACTATAAATCCCAAAAGACTTGAATAACAAGCTAGGGAAAGAACAAATAGAGTTTTAAAAGTTCTAGCATAGCGATATGTAGTGAGAGGCCATTTCAAAGATTAAAACATTGGGGACCCCTGTCACTCCTTTGGTCAAGATGTCCTTCCTTTCATAGGTTCATCTCCCTCCCGCTTTAGGCATCTCAGCACAAGCCAAGAACTTTTTTTTTTCAAAGTTCATTTAATTTAGGCGAAACCAGAATCTTTACTTCAAAGCAATGGATTTCTACATTTACTGAACCTTATAGTCTTTGCTTTGAAAAAAGAGCCAAAGGGTAACAAGGAACACCTTCTCATGTCCTACGACGGTTGTATGAACTACAAATATTAGATGATTCTAAGAGCATTAAATTAAGATCACATTGAGCTTTGTTCGGCATCTCAGCATTATCATTTTCTAACTCCAATGTGTTTCAATGTAATCTATACTGCAATCATTTATAACTTATAAGAAAAAAGCAACCAACATCTTAATAAGACAGACCTTTCTCTGGGTCATAGACAACAAGTTAGATACAATTCAGTATAGAGCTTCAGTAACTTACCAACATAGGAGCCCAGATAACACATATCAGTATGAAGAATAGACATATCCCATTGCAGAATTTGGTCATGTTTGTTTGCTTCTGCCCTTGTTGGTGTTTAGCTCTATTTAAATCCACATCACATTTGACAAGATACAAGCTTGAGTGAATATCCTCCAACTAAACAAAAGCCATATGTAAGACTTGTGCATTTGACATTTTTCCCCTGATAGGTAAACTAAGAACTTTGATTTTCCATGGACACAACTAACAACTTAGATACAAGAGAAAAAAGAAGACATGATAAAGATCAAATTTCATATGAAAGTACAACCAAGGGTGTCTGGCAATCTGGTTCATTGGAACTTTCAAGAAAAGGAAGTAATCTAAGTCTTCTTGTTTCTTTGGCAACAAATTCTCAATATAAAATCAGGGGAATATTTTCCCTATTATTATATATATCAAAATGATGGAAAATAACCCCTGAAATACAAAAGAATTTATATCTATTTTTACAAGTCACTTTGTATCTGTGATTTAAATGGGTCTTTAATAGAACACTTGTTTCCTCACTTACACATCTTGCTTGACTAAGATGGGAAGACAGTAGGTTCTCTCTTCCTCCTGTGCCTTTGCATACACAAGAAATTTGGAGTACAAACCTGGTAATGTGTACATTGAAGTGATAGCCTCAACCGAGTGAATCCAATAAGGTGATTAAAGAAACTCAAGAGATGTCCCCTTTTGCATAAATGGAAATAATAATAATATGAAATAAGCTAAAAATAGTTTCTATAAAGAGACTGAGATTAAAGAATACAATGAACTTACCTTCAGCCAGTCATACATGGTCAAAGATGTTGTTGTGCATGACCAGTCAAGTACACATCGCAATTCATAGAGAAAGGGCAAGGCACGATAAAGTTGGAATCCCAAAAAATTAATCCGTGAAACCTTACTCGTCAAGAATTGCTGATATAGTGTGCTTTTATGATGAACACCATATCGGATTTGTATTGCCTGGAGTGCAAGGGAAATTGCCTTTGTCAGAAAGATAGCACGGATTGCTAGCGCTCCCACATATTTGTTTGAAGGTTCCATGGACCAAGCATATTTAGTGACAAAGTATGTAAAGAGAATGAGGTTGAATAGGTAAAATATGACTTTACTCATGGCGAACGAGCAGAGGTAAATAATGCGATCAAGCATAATCAAGAAAAAGAGTACCTGCACAACATAGACACAATAAATTGAAAGAACCTAGCTCAGGTTGTTATGAATTAATTTTACATACGTACGTCTGCATCAGTTGTACGACATGAGCAAGGGTATCAGTCAATACTTTAAACTGATAAGTGTGATTCCCTAACAATATATCCTACAAGAGACCATTCCACCAGGGGCACACCAGTGTTTATAACAAACAATTCCTAAATTTCAACCTAAAACACCTCAGTTGAAGTTCATGTTAAGCTGGACAACTCCAAATTCAAGTTCACCATATCCATATGTACGAAATTTATTACCAGTACAACTACATCTCAGCAACGTCACTATGGAGTCATGGAGTGTTTTTTCCAGGCTGGTCATCTGACATTTTAGTCACTTTGAATATGTTTTGACTTAATCAAAGTTGACTTCAAAGTTTCCAAAGAATAATTCTTTTTCACAATGAAAATAAATCTAAACGACAAATTTAATTAACAGTTTAACACTACTTAAAATAAACAAAAATAGAGTCTTGTCAAGGGAAAAAAGCATTACCATTAAGATAAATACATACTCCTTTGGGAACTGATCTTCAAGATGGTACACCTCAAGAAGT